AAGACCATCTTTTGAATATATTCCCAAACCAATAATCATACTCAGAAATAATCATTAACTGAGATACAAGACCTTTGTATAACAATAAGGACAATAAATATCATTTTTGTGGTAAGAAACTTTATCTGTATTATCATTTTTGTGGTAAGAAACTTTAACTGTATTACTATTTCTACTCTGTATTCTTCTCTGGAGAGAGATGTCAAATATAATAGTCTATTAAAAGTGAGTAAATTCTGTGGAAGAGCTAACGATGAAACTGAAGATAAGGGTATGGTGATGCACAAGAATACACACGCCAGACAGTATTGGACCCCATAAGGATGAAGGGAGAAAAGATGGGAATTACAGTATATTAGTAAGAAATGATCAAGACGATTAACATTTCAGGAAATGTAGTCAGTGAAATAAAGGGCACACTTAAAAGACATGCCTAAGTTGCTATATAAATACCCAACTGGAAATAAAGTAAAATTAACAAATGAAAATTCATACTAACAGACAGCACAATAAAATACCAAAGCAGAACAGAGCAATTGATATGGAATGGAAAAAGGAGTATTAGTGGACTCAAAGAAATACTTTTTCAGTAGCCAGATATTAACAAGTCCTGGTGCTGATAGTGGCACCAGGACCTATCCCAGGTGCATGAACTGGCTTTTTTGGAGCCCACTCCCTATAGAGGGATACCTTGCTCAGTCTTGATACAGGGGGGAGGGGCTTGGTCCTGTCTCAACTTGGTATGCCAGACTTCATGGACTCCCCAAGGAAGGCCTTTCCCCCTTTGAGGAGTAGATAGGGGGTGGGAGAAGGGGAGGGAGGAGGAACTGGGGTTGGTATGTAAAACAAAAAACTAATATTTTAAACAAAAAAGATACGATAAAAATGCTTTAAAATAGTTATTTGAAAATAATTATTTTTGTGCTGCTTTAAGCTGGGTATTGTAGTACACACCTATAATCTCTGCACTTGAGAGGCAGGATCCTCTGTAGGAAGAGCCACAGTTTCTGAGTGTTAGGCCAGTCTGGGGTACACAGTAAGAGCTGGTCTCAAAAAACCAAGGCCTTGCAGGCAGCATGGAGGTAAACTTTGCATGGTTTGAGGTTAGAGATGGGTCTCCCTGTCCCTGGGTGGTAATGGCATACACCTTTAATCCCAACACTTGGGAGGCAGAGGCAGGGTGATCTCTGTGAGTTTTTGGCCAGCCTGGTCTACAGAGCAAGTTCCAGGACCAGCCTGAGCTACATAGAGAAACCCTGCCTCATAAAATAAAAAATAAAAAAGAGTACAGCTTGTTATATTTACCATGGTTCTGTGTCATTCAGGACACACCTAACAAATGAACCACAGGGAAGAAACTGTGCAAATTGTCTCTGTGTGCTGCACATTTTTTGATAGGGTTGAGTTTTCTAATAGATGACCACTGTATTTTAACCCTTTTTGCATAGTAGAATTGATAGAAGAATTGAGACTATAAACCTCCATGTTTATTGCAGAAGAGCCTTCCATTAGTATCCAATTAAGTAATTGTTTAACATATGCCTGAGTGACAGAACACTGCTTAAAGATTAGCATGGTTGAAAAGTTCAAATCAGCCTTAGAGGTGGGTAACTAAGTAGAGATTTAAGGTACAGTGGATGCTGACCCCCAAGAAGGACTATGGACCCATGTTAGCATTAGTACAGGTGCATAGTGCCTGACTCTGGATCTTGAGGAAGTTGTGCAGGAAGAAAGGTGTGAAGGAATCTTGGGAATCTGTGTTTTTAGTAAGCTCTGGCTTTCCCCCATGGTCTTGCCATACAACCAGCTAGAAGAAAGCCAATGGATCAGTTCTGGGAGGCACTAGGAAGAATTGGGGGAGTATAGGGAAGTACTGAGAAGCACTGGGCAGATCAGAACTGGGAGGCACTAGGTCAACAATGGGAAGAACTGGGGAGTACTGGGAAGGACTGGGTCAGCACAGGGAAGGAATGGGAAGCACTGGGCAGCACTCTTACAAGGGATGTACACTAGTCATGAAGTTAGCTTGGATTTAGGTCAATGTGTTACATCCTGATGAACCTCAGTCTGTTCACTATGGGGATTTCTTTCTAAGTGACTCTCCCTGTGGTCTTTAAGGCTCTTTCAGGCCCAATTCATTATGATTCTGTGAGTTTTGTCTTTCATGACTTCCTGAGCCAATCTCTGATGGAGGAGCAGATTCCCTATGAAAGCAGTTAACTTCAAGAGAATATGAAACTGCATATGAGGATAATGAAGTTTTCCATTATTGGGTACCACTTAGCATACTTCTGTTAGTAAATGTATGTATCCTCCAAGGGAGATAGATGGGAGCACATGGCTCTTCCTGGGCTTTGCAAAGACCAGAGAGTTAGCAGAATGACTTCCAGAACTGATTCTGAAAGGCATCACTCACCTTGCTTTGCACAGAGGCTTTCATTGACCAGCTTCCCCTCCTTGTTGGTGTCTAATTTCATCCAGCTATCGAGGTATTTACTTATCTTCCTGACCACCACCTTACGGTTTTGTTTCTTGAGAAAGAGAGAGGTATTTTCCACCTCAAGGAAGCCTTCCTGGTCATGGCAGGTCCATCGAGGTGCCTGGGCACAGGGAGTGGAGACTGCTGGTCGGAAAGGACCCCTGGAGGAGTTGGAGATGCCCAGGCACGATCCAGATTTAATATGAAGGAGCTTCCCATCTTCCGTCGACAGCCATTGCTGGTTCTGGCTGGTGCCATCGCATGAGCCCATAATCACTTTCTGATTTACAGAAAGACACTGCTGTTTACGGACATGGACTATCTGGAACCCCTCTGGAAGATGAGAGACTTATGAAGTACCATGGAAGGGCCATTGAATAACAGAACCACCTGCCCACAAGGCAGCTGAGTTAAAAATACCACATTTACTTTTATTTTGATCTTCCTAGCATTGCAATTGCATAGTCTCAGAGTTAGCCCATGTGACTTAAAATCCTAAGGCAACCAAACAACAAACCATCCTTACCCCATATACCCAACCAACCAACCAAAAACATCCCCCAAACTCAACCAAGCAACTAAGAAACCAAAAACACCCTCTCTAACCAACCAATCAAAAAACCCCCCCAAAAAAAAAAAAAAAAAAAAAAAAAAAAAAAAAAACCAGAAACAACAAAAGAATATCAGACATTATACATAACACACCCCTGTGAAACTCTTGTATGATTGAGTGAGAACATATCCCCACTGGAAAAAAATGATAGGGATCTTGAAGAAGAAACAAAGTCATCCAAGGAATATGGCTTTTCATTGGATGAGGAACAACAAACACAGAGAATGATGTGTGTGTTATCAAAGTCAATTAAATACAGAGCTTGGCCCCTGTAACCATTTGATCTTCTTCATATCATAGTCCTCTTCTATTATTTAAAAGAGAGAGACACCCCCTTCTTGGTCCTTAAACACCCAGAGTAAATAAATATTTGTTTATGAGCTGCATGATATGAATACATGCTTTAAAAATTGGGCACATTTATTAAAATATAAAGATACAATGGAATGTGCTTTTGAAGCACAACTTGTGACTGGTAGCAAACCACAGAAGTATTGATTACCAGAGGCTATGTTCCTGCAACACTGTAGAGCAGCATCGATTTTGTGACAGTGCCTATAGTTTCCCACCAAATACCAACATAGTTAAAAATATCAACATTTATTGAAGACTAACTGCCCAGTTTTTAAAACACTCACAGTAAGAAAGCAAAATACTCCGGCTCAGAAATGATTTTCAATGAGTTTTTAACCTCAGCTACCTAGCTTTTCTATGGAAATATTCCATCTTTCCAAATGACAACTTCCAAAGAAAACATATTTTCTTATTCTCTTTAATAATATTCCATATATATATATATATATATATATATATATATATATATCAGAGAAGAAAGTTAAAGTATAACCTGATTGTAGAAAAAAGAACAGCAAAGAAAATACTGTAGATTGTTACATATAAATAATGAAAGATGTTTGCTCAGGTGTCCTCACTCTGAGGGCCATCCTTTCAGGGGCTGAGCTGTCCCAGGCACTTGGTAAACACTTATTTTCTTCTGGAGAGAAATCTCCGCAGTGTGGCCGGAGCTGTCTCCTTCCATCCCCCTTCCCCATCGTCTTTGGCTACACTGCCAATGGAGACCTGGCTCTAATTCTGCCTTATTTCAGATGCCTCTCAAGAGGCAGGCAGCCTCCTGTGCTAATGCTGAGAGAGACAATGCCTCTGGGAAACTGAGGCTGACCCACTCACCTAAGTTCCCGAGGATCAGGCAGGTTAGGATCGCCATGTAAACTTCAGCCTCCATTTTCCACTAAACAACGGTTCATGCTTCGCTTGGGGGAAAAAAAAATCCTCCCAGATAAGAGAGGCAAAGAGTAGGAAGGAAGTGAGCTTCACGGAGAGGGGAAAAGTCAGTGACACACTTCCTCCAATTGAAATGTTTGGGGGAAGTTTTACACCAGTGTCCTTCTGTCTGTTTCCTTAGAAAGAAGGTATAATGATCATCTCTTTTTCAAATGTAGATCCAACCCCCAGGAGCCAGAATAAACCCCCAGAAAGTCTTCCCCTGCTGTCCCTTTGGCACATGACAAGTTAACCTCAAGATGGAGTAAGAGAATTGTAAGACAAATAATTGAGTCTTCCTGTGCCATGCCTTCTTTTCAGGTGCTATGATTCTGTCCAATATACGCAAGCCATGTAATTTATGGGGGTCTGTGACAATCGATAGAGAGACATAAACATGCACTGTTTGCATAATGAGATGCTGGCATCTATGAGGAAAACCACATAATGATGGCACTTCTAGATCATTATCTCTCGAGTGGTTGTAAGATAGCCTTTGGAGAGAGGCATCTCTACCCCAGAGGAGGAAAAGACTAGAATTAACTCCATCGCATTACCTACTTCAGTTTACCCACATGATGGTGTTTTCCCAAATGAGCGTAAGAAAAGAATATACTTCACTCAATATTTAGTGTTAAGAGCCATTTATTGGTAGTATGAAACAAAGTCAGCTTTGCTGCATCGAAAATTCATATATGAGCAGAACATCTCGTGTTTGCTGGGTGTAGTTATTTTACTTCGTTTGTCTCTAGAGAAATCAAACCTTTTAGAAATGCAAGTATGTGCATGATATCATCTTTAGAAAGACTTCTGGGAATGAGACAGGCTGGAGCAACTCCGGCGGCAGCTGCCTTTTATTGGGAGAGAGATTCCAGGTAAACAGCATATTCAAAAATCCCTTCTTAGTAGAAGAGAGATGAGTATTTAAAATTATTGATACTTTATAGTTATTATAAATTTGTTTATCCCTTTTTTAAAGCAAAACAAGTCACAATGTAGAAATATAGTAGTTAGAGTTGTGGAGCAGAAGCCACCTCTATGCCTAATAACAGAATATATATACACACACATATATGTATATATATATATGTATCCAATGACAGCCATTGTGCTCTGTAATTGATCCATAGGAGGTACTATAAATACACATTTAATAGATATTATCAAGACACATTTCCATATAAAATAGTTACTGCATTTGATTTTTTTCAAAAACAAAAATGTATTTGTTAAAAATCTGTTATTAATCACTTGCAACATTAGCAGCAAGATTCTGGTAACTGAGATAGGTAATAGCACTTAAACTGGAACAGTTGAACAGCTGACAGTCCATTCACAAGACAGACTTTATAAACATTAAAGCATCTAAACACAAGATAGTGACATCTTCAGCAGCCCCTCCTGCTGTCACAATGACAGTCACTGAATATTACACACATAGATTCTGTGTGGCAGATAACCAACACCGACAAAACAAAATCCACCTTAGGCTGTGTGAGAAATTATCATACCTCCATCAGCATAGGAAGGACCTTCAAAATAATTTGGGGGATGCTTACAGATGCATTCCTATACACAAAGGGTTGGCAATCTCTTATGTTGCCAGATCTTCCACAGTCCATGCCGCAGGTTGGCGTTAAAGCTTCCTCATCCACTGCAGGAAGCTCCTTCTAGGAGCCATAAGTAGGTGATTTCATTAATCACCCATGAGATTGACACTCTTTCAATCTTCACGGAATCACTGGACAGTTTCTGGTGAAAGTCTGCTCTCGTACAGGCACAGGGCATGGTGCACAAATTCATACTGTTCACTGGTTTGAACCATGCCACCCCTGCGTGGAAGAGATCAAAAAATAGCTCAGATTTGCTGACACCTTATAACATTGTAACCTAGACATGACACTAGAACTAAAGTGTTATGCCAAACATATATATATATCTGCTACCCTTCTTACCTGTGTCTACATATCCTGGCTGGTGAAGTTTAATATGTCAATACCGTCTTATACTATGTAATAATGTCATATCATGATGTATTGGTAATGATGACACTGGTTCCAACAAGCCCACCTGCTGATGGTTGTAATTACATTCATTCCCTAATAATGCATAACATTAACAAACAACTTCATTGTTAGCATTGGTGTTCACTGTGCTTCTTAGTGTTACTGAGCTTGTACTCCTACTTCAATTTTAAAATTCAACTGGAAAACTGTATTCCATTGTTAGGCCAGCAGCCACTGCACGCATATCATAGCTACCAGACTTCTCAACTGCATTGTTTTTTTCTTGTGCATTCATTGGTCTCTGATGGCTTTGGGAGAAGCAGGAAATGCTGTACATATATTGTATCACGTAGGTGTGTGGTAGGCTGTGCTATCTAGGTTTGTACACATATACCACATAGTGTTCATACAACAACAAAGTTGTCTAATGAGACATTTTCCAGAGCGTCTCTCCATCATTAAGCAGCACAGGGTATGCACTTTCTCTTTCTCACCATGCCTCCTCTATATGTGTGTGCATATATATGTATGCATACATACATACATACATACATACATACATACATACACATACATATATATGCGTGTACACACACACACACACACACACACACACACACACACACACACACACGGGGCTCAATATAGCACCATGCACTCTAGGCACCTGATTACTTATTTTAATGTTTTGAAACAGGGTCTCCTATAGCTGAGGCTGGTATTGAACCCACTATGTGGAAGAAGATGACCTTGAACCTTCATCCTCCTGCCTCCTGGGAGTGCTTTTACCTATGTACTGTTACCAGAGCAGTGACAGAACCTCACAGCTAAATACTTGGACTCTGGAATGAGTTAGTCCATCTAGCTCAAACACCTCCTGCGCTCATTTTCACCTGTGCATTTTACACAACTTCCTTAAAAGCATTTGGTGTCAGTCCCCTCTTCTGTTAAAGCAAGCCAGTGATGAGATTATGCAGTTATTATGAGCGTTCAGCTCCGAGCAGCCAGAGTAGGGTTATTCTTTCACAGGAGCCTCATCGTTTATCTTCTGTTAAAATGCATGATACATTTGGGCTAAAAGTGATGGAAGTGGGTTACCAAAGCACAGCTGAGCTGTGTGTGATCTATTGCTCTTCCTACAAGTGAAAGATCTACAATAAAGTGGGTCGTTGAAGGCTCTTAGGGCACCAATCAGTCTTTGGGTGTGCTAGGCATCTAAACACAATAGTGGGTGGATCCTTCAGATGGCTGGAAACTGGGAATTGGTTCTTGCTTTTCCTCTTCACTGGGGCCATTGTCATCAGCAGCTGTTCAGCATCACCCCCCCCCAATGTCATAGATTGGTAGAAGGCAGCTGCTTTATGAGAAAAAATTACTACTTCTCATCAGAATTTCATAGACACAATACTTTTATCTCATTTTCTCCTATGGTGATGGTTCTTCAGCTTGATAAGATTGTCATTTCACTGCATAAGAGTTATCACTACAGCAATATCTGAATTTTTGTACTCTCTCTGTGACTCATCATCAGTCACACAAGGAATCTTATTTTAGTTTTAGTCTTGGTTTTACTTAGTTATTTTTTCTATTGGTAGTTGGCAGATAATTTTCAAATCATGTAGGCAATTCCAACTTAAAAGCATAATGTGTTGTTCCCACTGTCACGAGACTTCTGGTTAATAACAACTGAAACTAGCCTTGTATATTTGCCTGTTAAACTACTATAGCAGTGAGACCACACCTTCTGAGCTAGACAGTGATTCCTCAGGCAGGTTTGACATGGTGTCAAAACCATGCATTCTTCAAGAAGTGAAGAGGTAGCTTTAGTTTCTAATGTTAGCAACTTCCTTGTAGAAATATTATCATAGTCTTTTCCAGTAGAACTGTACATTTTGTTTACCAAACATGGACTGGTCAGAAAGTGACAACAGAAATGGCAACTGAAGAATCACTTTCATTTCCTAGTTATAGTATGACATCTGGGAACATTTAGAAAAACATAGCAGGTGTTCAAGAGATGCTAGTCTGAACTGGAAAGCTCAGGAGATGCAGCCACAGTAAACATCAGGGCAGCTGCAGGGCACCAAGAGACACCTCCCTTCCTTTGACATTTTCTCAGAGAATCCATACACTTATGTCAAGCACAGGCTGTAAGTGGAAACTCTGTGCACACTACCTCTCTTGGGCTCTGGTCTGCGAACCTCCTGTTCCTGTTTACCTCATCTTGAGGCAAGATCTCCACTTTCTTGACTGTTCTGTTCAGCAATGACATTTGTGTGTCTGATTGGTGGACCAATGGAGTCACAATTTAGGTCTTAGTTATCATTTCATCATTAAGTGGCTCAGCAGTATGTGATCACGCTTAGAACAGATTCACTGTGTTCTATCAGGTTCTATCAAGTGTAACAGATGGTGCTAACTAGGTCAAGGTTGCTTCAGCCAGGGGAGACGGGGAAGATGGGAATATGCAGTGTGCTCTGGCAAAATTCCTGTAGATCTGAAAGCTTCAGGAAGACACAGGAAAAGTGTTGTTATTGCCCATTTCTTTAGGAAAATAAGAACAAAAGAAGTAGCATCAGAGGAGTCCTCAAAGATCAGTCATCAGAATTACTGGCAAAATCTTGTTTCTCTATAGGCCGGGCTGTCAGCCAGCTTCTGGAATGTTCATGGGCAGAGAAACCTTTAGAGACAGGCTTCGGAAGACATCAAAATGAATTTCTCTCTCTCTCATGTTCTCACCCTATTGGCCAACTGAAATAACCCAAATAGGTCTCAAGATTCCCCTTGTAGTCACACAATAGTTCTCTAAATGATGAAAACAACCATCAAAGTCCCATAATCTTTCTTCTCTAGACTAAACATCCTGTGGTTACTCAACATTTCTGTGTAGCCTGGTTTCCCTGTCACTCACAGACAGTCTCACTTCTACAAGCTATTTTATGAAACGGGACCTTCCTACAGTGTGGTATCTATCCCTGATGGGATCTCGTCAGCAAGTATCTTTTCTCTCTTAGCTACACGTTGTAGATCATTGAGACTACATTTGTAGATACGTCAGGGGGTGAGGCCCCAGGGCCTGCATGGTGTTTGACACTCAGCAAGCCTCTTAGGAAGAGACAGGTTAATTAAAAGTTAGCAGAATTGTCTTGAAAGTGAAAATTACAGTTTTTTTTTTATCCTGTATTGAAGCTGTTGAAAATTAAACACAGGAACTTACATTTGTTCCTGTTTATTACAGTTTGTTAATTCTTCTGAGCACCATGTTCTTGTATAACCGAATTATTATTTCTAATGTTCAATATATTACTCTTCCATTTCTCACTTCCAGGAATGAACCTTCCTGGCATCTAACAAAACAACAAAGCCAACAGAAAAAGACAGGACTAAAATAAGATGAGTAATTTGATATGATATATATTGTTCAATCTCATCTTAACATTGTTCTCAGTTAAGTTGTACGTTTTTAAGGTCAGGTATGTCACAGCTGCTCCTACAACAAACAGGCACTTAACTAGTCCTAAGTAAAAAGGGGAATGTATCAAATAAATAATACATGGCATGGTATTTTTACGTTATGTGAAAGTAGATAAACCGTGGGCTAAAGGGCAGCACAAAGTTTCCCAGGTTACATTCATTAGATACTGGCTAAAATTTAAGAACTTGTCACAATCTTCTTGGGAAATGTTTAATAAATATTTCACAGAACTTAAAACCTAGGATTACTCTTCAGGTTACATTCTATTCTAGAGGATTTTTTTTCTTTTGTAAGATGGCAATATGAAACAAATCACAAAATAAACTCAGGAAGCTAGTACAGCATACAAAATATTTTTGTGGAAAAAAATGAACACAGTCATATAGACTATGGGGTCTTCGAAAGAGTTTCCTAGTAATTCACTCCCACCCCAGTTTAGCAATAATTGATCCTAGGCAATTGATTCAATCAAATGAAGTCTATGGATTTGCTAAAATCTAAATCTACACTACAGAAACAGCCAGTTCCTAATGTGAACTGGTTCTAGAAGGCAAGAGATGGGGATTCTCTTATCTATTACTTCAAAATTAGCCATAATGAAACAGAAACAAACAGAACCCCAAAGGCATCATCCAACTGATGTTCAAAGAACAGACATTAACAAACTCCATTATCTGTGGTAGGTCATAGTTCAAACTCAACCAAACTTGAGGTTTTAAAAGAGTCCTACAAGGATTCCAAGTCTTAGGAGATTAGGCTGCACAGGCTCCAAAATTGTCACCATCAGTGGAACAAGAAGGCTAGAAATTAGCACTGTTGCTTAGCCATTACAGAATTCAAGAATTCTCTTTTGGTATTAATTTGGGTTTCACAAACCACTGTAGATTAAGTTATAATTTATGCCTATTATTTAGTAGATATTAGCCAAAAAAGAATAAAATTATCTGGGCCCACAGGCCTATCATCTCAGCATTTGGTAGGTAGAGTGGGAGGATGAGGAATCCAAGTTCAGCCATGATACCTATGACTAGCTCAAAAGACAAAATGAAAAAAAAAAAGTAAAAGGAAAAATGGCAAGAGAGCCTTGGCTATGACAGTGGTCATGAGTTTGAAAAGGTCTGGAAAGCTAAGGGGTGAATTCTCTGTCACCTTTGGAGAGCCTAGAACAGGCCAGGCCAGGCCAGGCCAATGATAAATTGGTCCAAGTTGGGAAAGTCTGGATGGAAATGGAATTGGTCCAAATATATTCTATACAAGGAGACAGCCATAGATGAGGCAGCTGGTACAATGGGAAGCAGTGGCTTGGCTCCTGGCAGATTTTGGGTGTAAGACCTTATTTTTAAACCCACTA